GTCCCCACTACCGCGCCCCCCCCCCCCTAAGGTGGCAACCTGTGGCTCTAGACACGTCGCATAAGCTGCCTTCGCACTTTTTATCAAAAGTCCCTTTTTATTTCTTACTGGACGCCCCCTTTTTTCAAAAAGCAGATCCACCCATGTATACATGTATCCGTCATACACTATTTTGGGAGTAGGTCTACCATGTTAAATGGGGTGCTTATCATGTTATAAACTGCTATCAATTTTAACCATGCATTTCCCATTAAAACCTCAAAATATTGTTCGCCAATGTGATGTAAGCTCCAAATAATGTATATTAAGATAAACGCTTTGTGTGGGATCGGGAATGGGCTGTAGGGTGTTGTCCAGGCCATCTAAACACAACAAATATTCCATTTAAGCAGACCAAACCAAAATACAATAAAATGTTTTATTTAGTTAAGGATAATGACTCCAAAATTTTCAGGGTAAATACTTATTAATTTATTGCAAATGAAAAAATTGTTTTAGCCTCGTTTTTGGAATCTAGTCACGTAAATCGCAAGATGGACACCATCAGAAAATGTACTTCCTTTTATGTTTTGCTAAAGCCATCAAAAAACTAACTCAACACATTAGATAAAAACTTAGGCAGAAAATGATCAACCAGGTTGTATTCTATAAAATGAATATTAGATCAGCTATGTAATTTGCTCCGCTTGGGAAAAAATTTGGGGCGTACAACATGGTCGATTTTCATAAATGTGGATCAAAGTCTTGACGTCTATTCCACTTCATAGATTAAGTTATATCACTTGTAATCATGCTGATTCTAGTTCATTTTACAGGTCTATACCTGCCAAGATAATACCCTCCCAAATTTCAGATAGATATCTGTAGTAAGTTTTTGAGTAGTTTCCAATTTATACAGGCTGAAACGCTGTAAAATGCGAAAGCTGCGAGAAATCAGCCTACGAAAGAATCACAAACAGGCCAAAAGTATACCATTTAAGCTCTAGAAGTATGTCCCATACATGCTAAATTATGAAATATTATGTCCCGCCAGCGCACATACTCAGTCGTCACCTTTCATTTTTATTATATTTCGCTGTTTTTTGCCTGGCGTTTTTTCCTTTATTGTCCCACGATTCACCCCCTTTGGGCGGCAGCCAGACCGCCCCCCAGCATCCCGGACATCGCATCATTGCCAAACACAAGTGGTGCCAGGCTTTCTAATGGCCTAGTCCTTTGAAGGATTGCCAGCACTGCAAACATTCACCATCATTACAAAAGACTGTGGCATAGTTCACAAATATGCTCAAGTCGCTGCCATCCCACAAATACTTCTTTTGGGCATAGGTCCCAAATAATGTGTGGAAAAGACTCATTTTTATTTTGTGTATCCCCGTGTAGACATTTTGACAATGACAGCAAGCAGTTCATCACTGGCTAGGATCTCAAACACTGGTTTGATTTCTTTGAGTACAAAGTCAGGCAAAACATTCTTTTTTGCCTTTTCCAAGTCACCTTTTACAGCAGGACACCAGTCCCCACCACTGTCACTGCACTTGCAGGACTCAAGGATCCAGTGTACCGACTACCGGTTGCCACAGAATGGCCGTTTTTCTTCTTAGGGCATGATGAACTTCTAATATATTCTAACTATATCCTAGCACATAAATTAACAGTTCAATCTACTGTTTGAAGTAGTAAGCTTTGAAATATGCAAAAACGATCAGTTAAAACATTTGTGAGTTGATTTCTCACTGTTAGTAGCCATGTTGTTTACTGATGCCAAAGGCTGATAAAAGGCCGTCCCTGATTGCTGATTTCAGGAGTCTCATAGACCCTGTACATCAGACAGCCAATCAAATACCTTGTTTTATGTCTTCATATTGGCCATGCTGAAGTTGAGCTCCTGATTCCAAGCTTAATTTTGGTACTTTCTTTTTGAAAATTAACCAAATAAAACGGAAGTTATGGGGGTATGAATATTTAATGAGGTATGTGTTTTTATTTCATTAGTATGTTTAATTGCTAATTAAAAACATCTTCAAAGGATGTATTGAGAAATTTGAATAGCAGGGGAACTGAAGTTGGAATACCAATGTGCCTAAAGGAGGGAAATTCAATTTTTTTATAATTTTAGTTTTTTTTTAAAATTTTGGGTTTGGTCTAAGCCCTTAACAATACAGTAAAAAGCCCGCGTATATAGAAGCATAGATTTTCAAAGAACCTGTTAGGCTGAAAAAATTTCCATTTAGACCCCTTTTACATAAAACTGTTTTAGGCTAAGATTTTAAAGTAGGTTTTTTTTTTCTTAATTTTCCATGCATAAGACTTAAAAGAACACAGGTAAAATAAAAAAACGAGTCTTCAAATACCGAATGAAATTTGCCAGCACCTCTTTGGCACGCAATTTTTGGCATCCTTGGGTTTGTTTCCTTGATACATACTGTATCACACAGTATGGTAAGCACTGAAAAACTTACACTGTAGCCACTCATGGGTATTAAGTTAGCAAAATTGCAGTCCGTGTAAGGAAATTCTTAACAATCATTTGAATCAAGTATAGCTTATACATATTAAAATGTTGAGTAAAACAAATTAAGAACCTACATTTAATGAACCTTTTGAGCCTAATTTTCAGTAAAAGCACCATTTATATGAAGAACATGATTGAGGCTAACTGGAAAAATCTATGTTTCTTCATACCGGGTTTTTTACTGTATATGTTCTCACGCAAAATTCCCTATTTTCCTGCTATTTTTCTCCAGCATCTGAATTCCTATTTTCCTATTTATTGAGCGTCCCACTGCCCACTTTGAT